AAAATGGGTGAAGTGAACAGTAAAATAACATCCTTTATAATATGGCTCTTACTTTTACTGAGAAAATATCCCTATAATTGTGGCTGTCAGTAGTAATGTCAAAAAATGTACAAAATATGCAAATTCTATGCAGATATTTGGCAACTACTGAAATTCGCAAAGAAAGACGTAACAAGTTTGCAAAAGAGATATTGGAAGCAATATTGCATTACTTAAGAAAGGAACGACTGGAGAAATGTGTATATTTATATAATGAAACTAGTAATATTTGATTGATAAACGTAATTTATATAATCGAATTTTACATACCCATATAGTATACTCAGTGTGTTCCACACTGAGTATACTATATGCAATCTTGGTCTAAACGGGTACTTTTTCTCATTATAACAGATATTGTTGACCGGCTGAGATTTGATATTGTAACATTACATTTTTGAAAACATCCACGAATAAGGACTTCGTTAATGTTAAATGCAAACAGTCAGACTACCTACTAAAAACGTTAAGTGGACTGGTTAAACAACATGTGGCCGTTGCATCTTCTGTTTGGGGAGAATGATGTATTTTCCACTTGGGCGCTTTTTTTCTAAGAAATCAAACGCGGGAATGCAATACTTTTCGAAGATATTTATTGTAAAGCCAGTTATCAATATAAAACTCAACATCTACCTTTATCCACACTAACTTACATTCTTAGGTCTCATGTAGAAAGCTCCGAAAACCTGTATTAAGTAATTTTCTGTCCAGATTTTAGTTGCAATTTTCTTCTAAAATACTACAAAAGCAACAAAGAAAAGTTTTTCGCGGATTTGTATTCTGACTTAGCCCCTGTTATGTTTTCCTAAGGAAAATAAACTGATACTTAAGTTAGTAGATCTTAATACCACTAATACCACTTTCAGTTGACCAAACCGTCTATAGGTATAGTCTTTTAACACAAAAAATAACACGCATATCATAGGTGACCAAAACGTTAATCATAAGGTTATCATAACAATATAAGATTTCCTTAAACTTCCATTTAAATAGGAGAAGTGTTATTTACTTATGATGAGACATGGCCTACGGCCACCTGTTTCGAAGAGGATATTTGCCGATTGTATCAATTTATTCCGCGTGTCTTTTATCTTTTGAGATTAGTTTTAATGAGACCAGTACATATGTTTTTCATAATCAATTTGCCCTTTGTTAATAACTTTCAGCTTATCTAAGTCTTCATTTTTTGGCAAGTGTCGCAAGAATCAGTAGAATAAACAACAAATATCGCATTTTTTTCTAGACCCCATTTCCAGAATACTGGGCGTCTGTGCTCTCTCGGTTAACGTTTGAATGGCTAACACCGTAAGAAATGTTTGCTTTTTTTCCTTCTATTGGTTTATAAAGTGGCCTCTCATATAAGTCTCTGGAACCTCTGCGCTAATATTAGTTCTCCATAATGGGCGTTTCTTGAAAGAGCCGAAGAACACCAGTGAAACTGGTGATACTGAATACCATAATGTGAATTCTAGAGTGACTGGTTGAGAAACCCTGGATTGCAGTAGGGTGGTGGACTTACTTAACCCATTTATGGTTAAACTCCCGACTCCCAGTCAGGATACCTTAGTTCAATTTTGATTGTGAAAAAAAACCTCCATTTTTTCGTGGGTTTAAAGTCCCCTCAGCTCGCTGCCGTTTACAAATTGCGATCAAATGAATTACCCATGTATGCACGCATTGCTTCTTTGTGCTCAAATTAATTTTCTGCTTCATCCCAAACTTCTTGGGTTCGCTTTCACAGCCATTTGCGGGAACCCACTGAAAGGTGAAGGTTTTATTTTGTTGTTTTCTTAGGTAAATGCAAACCTCATTCTTTTTGCATGGTAGGAGCCCAAGGGGATTAAGGTATCAGACGGCACTCAACGCTTTTAACATATTGCAGGTAATTTTTAACGGTAATTTGTTTATCCAATACCAGTGGGTACTTCATTTTGAAGGGAGGTGCTTTGCAGAACATATACGCCTTATGTTATGTCCATTGCGTGTGTTTCAGCCAAAGACCGACTGCGTAACTGTTCATGTTCATTTCATTAGTAAATGAGAACCCATTTCATTCAATAAATAAATTGATGCAAGCTGAATTTATTAACAAGGAAAAACCAGATCACCGTTATTGCACTAGTCTTACAAACTGTTTTTCCAGTCCACCGTAAGGTGTAAAGTTAATCCCTACAAGCCGTTAGAAGGAAAGATCTGTCAATTGATCAAATTTTACGCCGAAGACCAAGAAAAATAGAGAGCGAATTGGAGGGATTTTTCTGCTGTGTTACCTGACCTCACACAGCCGTAGGTTTCTGTGCACTAGCGGAATATTTAGCCTAAAAACTCATGCAGGAACTGTTTCGCACAAACATGCATATCCTTGACTTGAAAGATGAATTCACATTTTCGTTTGTTCTCATGATTTATTTTAATTTCTTCAAAATACCCCTTAATCTTGCTTAAGGTTTTCCCGTTCTGGGAATAAATTAGTTTTAATAATTTTTGGTGGAGGATAAAGGTATCGCTTTTCAACCATGCGACCTTTAAAACAACCGGGCCCCCAAAGTGTTAAGTATTTCGAAACAGGCGAATTTATCGGTGGAGAGAAGTTATTGCGGTCCCCCCAACGGTGTAGCCATCTTTTCTGCCCTACCATGGGTGGGAAATAGAAAGAGCGATAGAGAACTCCGCCTTATTTTCAAAGTATCATGCAAAACGTTCAGCAGAAAATGGTTCAATTCACTAAGAGCACGAGATTTAATTAAAAAAATACGCAATAAGTTTGCAAAAATTCCCTTCACAGAAATCCGAAGAGCAATTGGCGAGCATACGT